AAATATCGTGTTCAACTCATGCAGTATACAAAATAACTCAAAAGCCAAACTACAGTAACACTTATCAGCAAAACTCTTACCAAGTCCTGATTCCTGACAGTACGTTTTCTCTCAGATTCTAACATAACACGAAGACTTTTAGCTCTGTCATCCAGAATTTCATTAGTTTTTTCAAGTGTCTTGATTTTGTCCTACAAAAAAAAGATATTAAGATTAGTAATAACTACTCATTACTTTTACTTTTGTTTCCAGAATTTAATCCCAAGAAGGGAATTTTACCTTATCTTTAATTGCCTCATCACGAAGTATCATATTTTGTTTCTTGGTTTCTTGAATATATTTCTTTGATTCCTTGANAATTGGGCAAGGAGAGGAAACTTATTAACAATAATATGTCCAATGTAATATAATTAAGAAACTAATAAAACAACAGAGTACTCAGTTTTAGAAAGAATTGCAGTCAATGATTTTGGCCACTTTAACTGTTAAGTTTCAAATGAAAGCTTTTCATTTGCACAGTTCATTTACACAGAATAATTTCCCCCAATTATATGAAACAAATGTGAAGCAGAATGGCATACAGTATGATAAAAAGTATGTAGGAGTACACACACATATACATACACATATATGTCTGAAAGTCAAATTCTGTACAGAAAAAAAGGATAAAAAATTTAATAGTGTCTGAAAATTATATAATCTGTATTTCCAAATAAGATATTTTCTGAGCACATGATCAAATCAGAAAATCTGGCAAACACTTGTATATGTAAGGGGAAAAAAAACTGAAAAATTACTTCATCTCGTAGATATAAGAATTTTTATTGTTCTATTGTATTTCCTTGCAGCATTTTTTCTGTGTGCGCCCGAGTGTACATATGTGTTTTATATAACACTCAGTTTACCTATACTTTAAAGTCTTGGTTTCTGCTTTTCTCGACTTCACGTTAAATTATGAGCACTTTCTGTGCCCCAATGTCTTTGAAATATGTAAAGCCACCTTATATCCCATTATATGGATATACAATAATTTAACAATTCCCCTACCATAGGGATCATGTAGGTTGTGACAAGTTTATCACTCTAATAAGTTCTGTTCCACTGAATGCCCTTGCACATGATCTTTAATGTATGATTGGTAATTTCTTTAGGGCAGATAATTTGACAAGATATTATACTATATAAAAGGATATGACCATTTGTAAAGCTTCTTATACATATCACTAAACTACTTTTCAGAGTGGCTGTATGAATTCCCAATTCTACT